TAACGACGCCGTATAAGATGGCACCTCTCGGCACTTCGGTAAATTATATAAATCACGGGAGGCCTTCGTCAAGAGTTCTTAATCCCCCTGCCTCCCTTCCCCTCTTCTTCTTCTCGCTTTCAGTCAAGTTCCTTATCCAACTTATGTGCAAAGTCTTATCACCTTCATAGAAGTCTGGTACTTACTTTGCATTAAGTGCCCATTAATTAAGTAGTATACTGGTAATTGCTCAAGTGTCTCTTTACCTCCCGGCTGTGTATGATTACCGGGTCTTATTAGATGGTTAATTATTTTTGGGTAAAATGTTTTGAGAGGTGAGAAAATTGCTTGAGAGGTGGAAAGCAGTTTCATCGAAGGAGAACGTCTTAGAATTGTTCGAGAATACTTTGATGAAATGCCAGTATTCAGAGGGGCTACTCACTCCATAATTAAGCGACTCCATGATTTCGAAATGAGGTCGATTTCGGGTGATCTCAGTAATTTTGGGAAAAATGATTTCGGTGATTTCGAGGGTCACCGGAGGTGATTTCATGATTTCGCATGATTTCTTTAATTCGAAATCAGTGATTTAAAAAAAATGGAGTCGTGGAAATCACGATGAGTAAAGTTAATAAATAATAGAGGTGTGGCAAAAAGGATCGTATCAGATTATGAAAATCAAAACTAGCAATAATAAAGAATTCTTTTGAATTACACATAATTTAAAGCACACATCAATCTTGTACATAAGCATTTTTTTTCATCACACTGTCCATAAAACGTCGTTCCATTTTGTGTCCTCCAAACGCCGTTCACGGACATTGTAAAAAAATAGTATATTTTTATAGCCGTATAACGAACAATACTTCTGTCATAATGTCTCCCAGGTAAGAATTGACGATAGAAACAGGGCTCATCAAGCCCTGGACCAAGGCTCGGAAATGCTCAATCAGGGCTGGGGCTCAGCCTTGGATCAATCCTCCTTCAGCCCTAAAATGATAACCTCGTTTCAGGCTTAGTCCGCAAGGCTTGAACGAGGCTCGGTGCCAAGGCTTGATTCAAGCCTTGAATTACCACATTTGAAAGGCTCAATCGAGCTTCGGCTAAATAAACTGGAGTATTGTTTACAGATATTTGTACAAACAATTTCTTATTGCTTCATAACCCTTTTTATGAATTTAGAGTAACCTATGAAAGAGAGTGCGGTCGGACCGTACATCACTGTTGATAAGCGTTGTTGGTGATTGTGATTGTCGGTTAATTAACAATGAATGGGAAAAAAATTATTATCATCATTAGTTTCTATTAATTATTCGTCCTGGATTATTACCGCGTACCTGGAAATTGAAATACAATGAAATCAAACATTTAAAAATTTGCTCCTCTGCTGGGGTTCGATCCGGGGTCCTTCTGATCCGCAGACAAGCGCGCTATTTTTTTTTTTAACCATGTTTTTTATTCAATTTCTACAGTAGGTATTTACATTATTTACAACTATTTACATTAAAAAGGACAGGTACATAAAAAATATGATATTTAGTATCTGAAATTTGATATAAACATTGGTCACTCTGTGACACTCGCGTTTACTTTATTCTTGGTTTTTTTTATATCTTTATTATTGTCGTGAGGTTCTAAACCTTTGCTCCGTTGTAGAGTTTTTTTGTATTTGGTTTTTTTGCGCTTGAAAAAAGAAAAAAAGAAAAGGTGTGACAAAAGAAAAAAAAAAAGAAAAGAATGAGTGTGTGTATCGTATAAAAAACAAGCGCACTGGATTAATGATTTATTCAGTTTTTTGTACTTCTTTCATTAATAATATGTTGTGTGGAAAAATATTTAAGGTGGCCTAAAGTTGTGTCTTCTGACTCTGTCTTGGCCTCTATTATTATTTTTATTTTTTTCTTTACAGATTTGGTATCTGTTTTGGAGTTCAGAGATGAATTTATCATTCTGGTCTATCCACCAGTATTTCATTCTGACTATAAAAATCTTCGGTGTCTTTCTCTGGTATTTCTCTGGAGTATTTTAACTCCCTGTTCAGGAACTCATCGACTGGGATTTTATTATTTCTCTTATTTCTCGGTATATGATAAAGAATCGGCTTGTTCATTTCGTCTTGAAACAAACCGACCTTATCATATGCGGTGAAATATTGCGGTTTTATGTTTCCGCATCTAGTTCTACCAATTGTTTCTTGATTCTCGAAGTTAGTGCATTTATGGTATCATTTTTTATTGCTTTTAATTTTTCATAGTAATTTCTAGCTAATTTGAGCATGAAATGATCTATTCTGGGTATTTTAGCTTGATCATAGAGGTATTTATTTTTGACTTGGTGTTGATAATTTGAATGCTCAAACCTGTATAAAAATAGGTTCTGAGACATTTTCTTTCGAAAACTCTTAGACATTCTGTTTGGTGTGCACCCATGTTCCAGAGGATTTCTGCTCCGTACGTTAGTAGGGGTCTAATGAGTAATACATAGCATATTACTCTGGCTCTCTTGTTGATATGCTTGTTGTGGAAAAGAAATCCTAACGATTTATACCTTTTCCTGGCTTTCTCTATTTGTATATCGATGTGATTTGAACAACGCGTTAGCTCATCGATATTGATTCCTAGGTATTTCACAATCTTTTTATGCGGGATATTTGTTTCGGTATTTGTTGAATTATCTACGATTTTAATTTGAAAGTTGTCGATACTTTCTTTTTGTTTTTTCGATAAACCTGTTTTTGGGTTTCTGAATATAATTGTCTCGCTTTTATCCGGGTTCACTCTGAGGTTCCAGACTGAGTACATCTCGTTCACTTTGTTAATAAGTGGATTAAGTTTATCGCTTATTTCGTCAGCATTCTTTCCAGCGGTATAGATAATTCTATCGTCCGCGTATGCAATTGAGACTGTGTCGTTATTTTTATTCAAATCAAATGAGTCTATCATGTGAGCAGTGAATAATGAGAAGAGGCAAGGGGAGTTAATCGTTCCCTGTTGCAGTCCTTCCATTATTTGATATGTGGAGCTCAGCACATTATTATGATTGATCACCCTGAATTTTTTTCCGTGAGTCATACTCCAAATAGTTCTGGTTAGATGGATTGGAAATTTATTTTTCAAAAGGATGTAAGTTAGGACATTCAGCCAAACAGAATCGAAGGCTTTCTCTAGGTCAAGGAGCACTGCTCCAACCATCGTGTTTTGGAATATGTATTCGTTGACGTCAGATAACAATTTATTGACTGCGTGCAATGTAGACAAGCGCGCTATCCACTGCGTTACCTGCGACTTCTTAGGATGATACATTTTTTTCGGGTATAAAAATTCAACTTGTGTTAGTGTTATTTTCTTATTTTGTTGATATCCTAATTAAACTTCCTGAACTTGAATAAATGATAGGTCCGATGGATTTATGAGTTCAGAATCGATTGATTAATTAATTATAGATAAGGATAATAATAATTATGTAGCCTCGTGCACAAAGGGCTGCTCTAGGCCTGGTCTGGGGGTAGCTTAGATAACTTGGCGGAAAATTATAGCTATGTTTGTAGATGATAATGTGTTCACCACCATTAGCTAATGAGTATTGATATAAAAATTGAGGAAATTTACCGAAAGTAACTTTAATTTTCGAGGCCTTGCTGAGCCCTGAATAAGCCTTGACGTACTGAGCCTGAATACTGAAAGCCTGGACTAGGCCTGAATTGAGCCTTGCTAATGGTCCCTTTAATCATCCTCATTTGAAGCTCAAGTGAACGATGAAACCAAGCCTATCCCAGGCCTGAATAACTGAGCCTCGCCAACGCTGGTCTCATACAGGCTTGTTCTCATCGTCAGCCTATGTAATTCTTACCTGGGCTGTAAGCAGTGATTCACCGACGGGTAGCGTTCTGATTTTTGAACTTTTCAATTGGCGATTGTTTTTTTTTGCTATAGGATTAGAGATGTGGATGACACTATCAGTGACAACAATGGTAATGCATTAAGAAAAAAAAAGTTTTTTGACAAGTACGTCTTCACTTGTACCAAGAAACTCATAGCTGGAAAATTGTCAAGAAGAATATATATTACACTGAGGAAAAAAACGTTTGTCAAGAGATTTTGTTCTTGTTCCAAAGACGAAAATAATTTGTTTATGGCAAGAAAGTGATTTCCCAAACCAAGTATAACTGAGTGAATTTATTCAATAGTATCGAAGTCTCAAAACCAAAATATTTTAATGCAAAAACCGTTTGACTTGGTTCGGGAAGTCGCTTTCTTGTTGTGAACAAATTGTCACTCATCGTTCAGCCGAGTAAAAAACTAGTAACGAAAGGTTTCATTTCTCAGTGTGAGATATTTTCTTCTCGTCGATTTTCGAGCCATGAGTTTTTTTTATACAAGTAAAGAAAAAAAACAAAAAAACAATGTCTCAGTGTGCATTATCGTTGAGAGTATTTTTCCCATGACTATAATGAGAATCATAAATGTAAGTCTTGTAAATATCTGCTACGTGGGAAGCTACGTATATGGAATTTTCACCTCTGTGCGATTCATTTGAATGATCATCAAATCGTGATCGGAGATGAAATTGCTGTGGCAGTTGACCTAAGCCCTCCAAAGTCCAGCTCTCCATAGGGCTTCCCACTTAATGATCAATTTACGATCCGTTTGTTTCCTGCCACTGAAATATTACAAAAATGTACTTTAAAAATTTTTTGTTCTCCGTGAAATTAATTCTCTCTCTAAGTTTTAATGTCCGAATGATGCTATACGACTCTAGAAATGTGAACTATTTTTGTTTACAGCAAAAAAAATTTGAATAATCCAATAGCTTATCTCTTTCTTTCCCTCCTCCCACGTATACTTTTATGGATGAAGTTTTAGTGCTTGAAGACCAGATGATCTCACCTAATTGTCAAGTTGTCGTTGGCACTCCCAAGGGGAAGAAACATTGAAAATTTATCGCCCGGAAAGACACATCGGGTGAAATGAGGTGTGAATGAATACTTATTTTTTTTCTTTTCCTATTTGCAAATTGATCAGGTACTACCAACTGTCGTGGTAATGGTAGTGGGAATGGTAAACAGCGAAGATCAAGAACAAACTTCACCCTGGAGCAGCTTGCCGAACTGGAAAGACTCTTTGACGAGACTCACTACCCCGATGCATTCATGAGGGAGGAGTTAAGTCAGCGGTTGGGATTGAGCGAGGCTAGGGTACAAGTCTGGTTTCAGAATCGAAGGGCCAAGTGTCGGAAGCATGAGAGTCAACTTCATAAAGGTATGACAATAATTTTTTAGTTGAATAAACTGCAAAACATTATCGAATTCCTAAATTATGGAATTCTTATTTCGAATTCATGATTGCGAATTTCTAATTCACAATGAATTCTTAATTCCTCTCTGTAGATCGGAATTCCTGATTATGAATGCTTAATCCTGAATTCCCTGTTTCTTATTTCCATTTCCTTATATCATCATCCTGATTGCAAATTCCTGGTTGTTCTGAGTTCCTTAGTTCGGAGTTCTTAAATAAATTAATTCCTATTCATAAATTCTTAATTTGCAATTCCTAATTCTTGATGCCGAGTTTCTAACGGTAAATTCCTTGTGAACTCTACCAGAAATTCTCCCCGGGTAGAAATCACGCCGCTCGAGCTCGCCTCGCAACCCGTATCCCAGCTAGAAATACGCCACTCCGCCCCAGCTTGGGATAAACTCTACGCGCGTCACATGTACCCGAGGTTGAGCCGCGTCGCGCGCTCACAGCCCAGCGTTAGACTATTACACGAAACGCTTCGCCGGGCTTTAGTTGAATGGCCACTGCTCAACCTCAGGTTCATCTCCAATTACTCAATCCCAGTATACTTAACCTCAATAATGATTTGACAGGTCCAATGGCATCGTGATTTGAGCGAAAAAACAATCGAATAAATGTGAAGATGGCATGCTTTTTTAGATGAACAATCACAAGCTCATCAGAAATAACGTGATATTAACTAATCGAATGGGATTAATCTGAAAATACAAGGTAGAACAATTCACTGAAACGTAGTCGAAACTTTCTTTTTTCTCGCGAATACAAAAAACAAAATCAAGAAAAATAATCACTTGAAAAACGTTAA